CCTTGCAGTTCATTGTCCCATCCCAGCTTTAGCCCAGGCAGTCCCACCCTGCTTGTTTTTCTCTCTGCAGCCCACGGGGTTTGTGCTCCTGGGCTGAGATTTGGGTCATTTGTCCTTGGTGCCCGGCTGGAGCAGGAGTTGTTTTGTCTCCCTGCTCTGTGCTCAGAGCTCACCATCCCAAAATGTGAAGCTCAGACCCACACACTAAAGCAGCACAGAATGTGAAACATAGAAAATCACAAACCTGTGGCACCAGCCTTAAGCATTGCTGAGCTGCAGCATTGAAATCATTGCCCCACAATCAATTTGTGGGGCAATCTGGGCACCTTTGGGTGCAGGATCTCCCCTTACCTGGGTGAGGCTGTTCCAGAAGGATCCATCCCAACCTGACCTGTCCCAGGTGTGCTCCATCCTTCCACCCATGAAGCAGCACTGAGTTACCCCCACCTGACCACCACAGCAATTTCCAGCAATGAGAAACACCCGGGAGAGTAGCTGAACAACAAGGAGTGATGGCTGTGAGAGCCCAGGCAGCTCCCTGCTAACCCCCTCCCAAACCAGGCACTGCAAACATCCCCTGGGCTCCGGCTCAAGGTGAAATTATAGGTGGGAAACTTGAATTTCATCATTCTCAGGAAGAAATGGTTTAACAGTGCCCAGCAGAAACAGCCTGGGAGGGATGTGTGGGGTGCTGTGAGTGTGCTCAGCCCCACAGAGAATATTGGGAGTCTCTCTGCAAAGAACCAGCCCATTGTGGCTCTAAAAGGGACCTTTAACATGAACATCTAGGCAATTTTATAAGGAGCTCCATAATGAGGGGATGTAATCCTTTTAGAAATCCTGTGAATTGGAATTCTTTGAGGCCCGCAGGAAGCGCTGGAGAATAATTTGCACAACCCAAAAAATTAGCACAAAGAGGAAAAAAGGCACTTTAAAGCCAAGACCCAGTGGCAGCTCCCTCAGGTGGGCTCTTTCAGGCGTGCTGGGTACAACTTTCAGCAAAAACTCAACAACCAAGAGACCCAGAATGGCTTAAGGAAGAAAGAGTGGCAAACTGCAGCTGGTTATTATTGTCCAAAAGTTCAGTGCTTCTCTGTGAAATCTGTGTTTCTTTTGGCTGTAGCTCATTCCACTGAATAAAACTTTTTTTTTTCCTAATTCATTTGAACTTGTGGCAGCTGCACTTGAGCTGATTGGCCAGGGTTTTGTGGCTGCTCTGCTCTCTCCAGTGCTCATTGTTGGGCAGTTCAGGTCATGTTATTTCACCCCAGCCAATATTAATGGCAGGGGCAGCTCCCAGGGCTCGCACAGACATCCATCCAACAGATGAGCCCCTAATTCTGTGAATGGCTCCTCTTCCAATCCATGGGGTTTACTCAAACAGAGAAAAGGAGACTCCAGGGAACAGCTGGAATTGGTTCTGAGGGAGGTTCAGAATGAGCCTTGACCCAGCTGAGTTCCCTTCACCCCTGGGACAAGAGCTGAGGATGTCTGGGCAGTGATTCCTCCTCTCTGGAATTGCACCCTGGCCCTCCTGCAAGCAGCCCCATGCAAATTAAAGGATGCAACTCCAAGTAAATGAGGGAAATAATTTGTTTAAAAGAAAGAGATTAATTACAACTTAATTAAAACAACATAAGGAGGATGGAGGAGGAGGGCAGAACTCAGGAGGGTGTTTGGCTGATTTGTTTAATCCCACGGAACTTGCTCCACCACCCATTTCCTTCTGTCCACTCAGCTCCAGAGACCCCAAATGCTCTGGCACGAGCAGGCAGAGGGCAAGGAGAGAACAGCTCAGCCTGCAGGAAATTCTGTCCCAGGAGCTTAGAGCAAGACTTTGGGAATGCTTTGCTAAATTTTCATGAAATGTCAGGTCCAAAGGAATCTTTGTAAGTAATTGGAAATTGATTCCGTGACACTTTGATACTGAGCTCACCAATGGCAGCTGCTATTTTACATTTCAGAATGGATGGAAGAAATTCTTCAGGGCAGACCCTGGCACAGAGTTCTCAGAGAAGCTGCTCCTGTATCCCTGGAGGTTTCCAAGGCCAGGCTGGACAGGGTTTGGAGTAACCCGTGGTAGGGGGATGATTTAAATGGGCTTTTCTGTCCCTTCCAACCTAAAGCATTCCATGGTTCTGTGATCTCCTTTTAAGCCTCTTCACAGCAAAATGCCTCAAACATCACCAGCACATTCTTGCTCCTGGATGCACTTTAAATAAAATCAGAATTACCTCACATTTCCCTGGGATCCCAGAGCCAGAGCATTAAAATAATGAAATGAAAAATGATGAGAGCAGAACCAACTTCCTGTTTGGAGAGAATAAATCAGTGTGAGTGCCTGACCCAGCACTCAGGTGCAAACAGCAGAGTCTCTGAGCCTCACCCAGGAGAGAATCCTGATTACAGCTGCAAGAGGTGGGTGGGAGCTTTACCAGGAGCTGGGAACTGAACCCTCTGCCCGGGGGACTGGAGCAATTCCCCATCCCAGCCCCACTTTGTGATGCTGAATTCTGGGGGGAGAGCCTTGAGTGCTGCGTGCTGAGATTCCAGCGCTGCTGCTTCGAGTGCTCCTCAGGGGCTGGCTGGCACTTTGGGAAAAGCCTGTCTGTCTGTCTGTCCTGTCCCCAGCCACAGCCCCAGTGAGGTGGTCAGTAGGGGTCAAGTGGTCAGTCAGGAAGGTTCTTCAGGCTCTGTTTTCCCTCTGCTCCTGGCTTGGCCAAGGAAGCCTCAATAAGGCGGTCACTAAGGGGTCAGATGGTCAGTGAGGGGGTCAGTAGGGGTAAGGTGGTCAGGTGGTCAGTGAGGTGGTCACTAAGGGTCAAGTGGTCAGTCAGGCAGGTCCTTCAGGCTCTCTTTTCCCTCTGCTCCAGCTCCCTGCCTCATTTCCAAAACCATAGTGTTTTCTCACACAGATCCTCAGCTGAAAATAAATATATTCAATCCTTTGTGTTCCACCTTCCACTCCCAGACATGATAGGCGTTCTTTAAATGATAATGTGTTATAAGGTGTCTGGATTCATTTCTAGACCTGATGTGGACCACCATCCTCAGTCCAAAGAAAGCTTTCATGTTTTCATTTTGCTCTTATCCCCTCCCCAGCAAACATTGCTGCTCTGGAGCGGTTTGCCATGGGCACACACAATGTTCTGTTTCCCTGCCCAAAGCCCTTGCTGTTTCTGTGCAAATCTCTCTCTGTGAACCTGTGAAAGCTCTCTGCTGTGGGCTGTGCAGTTTCCCTCCTGATCCTGGGGTGTGTTTATGGAGGGGTTTGCCCTGCCTGCTCTGCTCCCAGTGTTGGGGTAAATCTCACTGACTGGATCTGCTGATCCAGCCCTGTGAGCCCTGCTCTGCTTCCCCACATTTCAAGATTTCCTGAGGGTGACCACCAAGCTGTGCTCCACAGCCTTTTCCTGTCCCAGCTGTAGAAAACCCTCTGAGCCAATCCTGTAACACATTTAAAATCTGATTTTATTCGTACAATATTTTGCTCCCCTGTTTGGGCTGCTGAGCTGTGGGAGAGGCAAAGGCAGCCCTAAGGGAGAGCCTGGAAACTCTGCAAGCTGCTGATTTCTCCTGCCTGGGTGCAGCACTGGTCAAATACTGGAATCATCTACCCAGGGAGGTGGTAGAGTCACCATCCCTCGAAGAGTTTAAAAAAAGACTGGATGTGGCACTTGGTGCCATGATCTAAGTTGAGGTGTTAGAACATGGGTTGGACTTGATGATCTTAAAGGTCTGTTCCAACCTAGAATTTCTGTGATTCTGTGAGCACAGATGCTGAACAGAGCTGCTGTGACCTCTGTGCTCCAAGCCCTGGCACTGCAGAGCCCTGCAGGGCTGAGCTCTCCTCCATCCCTGCACTGAACCCACCTGAGCTGCCCTGCAGCCGGCACACAGCACAGGATTTATCGGCTGCCTCTGGAATGAGGCAATTCCCTTAATTGGCTTCATTTCCAGGGCTCTGCGCCTCTCCCCCTGCACTGCTGGTGGCACAGCTATTTGTGTGCTGGTGGGGAAAAAAACCCCAAAGATTGGACAGCAATCAATCAAAGGAAGGACAGAGACCTCTCAGAGATAATTGCATCCAGAAACCCAGATCCCTGTCAGGGCTCTCCCTCCTGTGGTTTGCTTTCAGGAGCCTCTATTAAGCAACAGGACATCCCCAAACAATGCCAGCAGAGACAAAAATCTCCTTTCCTTTTCATGATTTCCCTCCCCAGTGCTCTCTGGCCACCAAACTCCAAAGAAAGATCTTTTTTAATTATTAGGGTCAAAATGGTTGGGGTGGCTGAGCTTTTCCCATGCACAAAGCTCATTAAAGAGCACCTGGACATTGGTGGGGCTTTTTATTAATTTGTTTTCCTTTTCTATGGGTGTCCATCCCTATGTCATTTCCCACAATGAACTTGGGGTCTGAGCCTGGATATGTTCTATTTAAATGCAGTGGGAATCAATAATTGTGAGTTGTTGTTGACACAGAGTTCCTAGATGGGAAAATCACATACTATTTTTAAAAAGAAATTTAAAGTTTGCTATTAATAAATAATAATAATTAATTTTAATAACAAATTTAATCAACTCATGATATCCAGTATAACATTATGTCTTATTTACATGTCCATACCCATACTTACTTGGCACACACTATTTTTAATAATAAACTTAAAATTTGCTATTAATAAATAGTAATCAATCATTTTAATAATAAATAAACTCCATTAATTAAACTCCAAATTAAATTTAATAAATATCCAGTATAACATTATGTCTTATTTACATATCCATACCCATACTTACTTGGCACACACTATTTTTAATAATAAACTTAAATTTTGCTATTAATAAATAATTAATTTTAATAATAAACTAAATCAACTCATGATATCAGTATAACATTATGTCTTATTTACATATCCATACCCATACTTGGTATCACAAATGCACTCAAAAATGTTTTATTTCTGTTTCAATATCTCTTTGACCAGTAAAAAAAAAAAAAATAGAACTTCCATAAGCAGGATTTACAGTCTGTTTTAAGCAAGGTGGTTGTAGCTCAGTTGAGATCCTACAAAAATATTGTTTTAGAGTATAGTACACATTCTGTAAAAAAACCTGACCTCAGGGGGTGAGCAGTCCTCTGGCAGTTTTGGGATGCCATCCAGTATTTTCAGGTTTGGCAAATTGGAGAACACACTTAAAAAGAGACAAAAGAAAAGAACAGAAATTGAGAAAAATAATCTTGGGAAATGTTGAGAACAAAAGAGACAAAATGTTGAGAACAAAAGAGACTGATAAAAAAGAAACAGTGGATTCAAACATATGTAAAATAGATTTGGGTTGGAAATCTTGATTTGTCATTTGTTGCAGAATTTATCTGATAAAAAGCTAATTAGAACTCTCAGATTTCACTTCATTGCACCACCTTTATATTCTCAGACCCAATAAAGCACTTGAAGAATCTGTCTTCCAACACTGACAATGAACACGATACCAGAGTTACACTAAATTGCACCAATATTTAATTACCCTAAGATCTGGCAGATTGAGAGCAGAAATACAATTAGGAATTGTCAAAACGTGGTTTCTGCTTTTGTTCTCCTGAACTTGTAGATATGCAAATAATAAAAGGTGAAATCCATCATTTCAAATGTACTTTTCCCCCTTCCATGCTGATATCTGCCTCCCTGTCTTTATCAGCACCACACTGCCAAAGAGATGCCCACAGGACTACTGGAAACTCAGAAAGGTTTTCATTAAACATATATTTTGAACTTCTCCTTCCTTTTTTCCCCCTGTCAGTAAGCAATGGGAGGAGGTATGTCCCATTTCAGACACACTCTGCAAGGTTTATCTTCAAAATATCAACACCTGGATGTGTTTGTAGTGGGACAAAGCATGCAACCATGCAGATTTTCTAAGAGAGAAGCTTAGAATAGATTATATTCCCTTCAATTTCTTGGATTGTTATGCCTTGGATTGGAATTTCCATTGCCAGTGTCTGAGGCTGCTCTGTTAAATCTCCAGCCCATTCCAAAGGCTGCTCAAGGGACAGGGGGAATCCAGAAAAATCAGATGAAGGGAACTTGATTTTCTGCTGCTTTTGCTCCCATCTTTCAAGACATCCCCCTGATTCCAGCTCTGACATGTAATGCCATTTAGGCAGAAGCCACCAAGGATGCAAGGAGGCTGAAGAGGTTGAGTAATAGGTAGTTTCTATTAATAAAAGGGAATCTAATTTATCTGCCCTGCTCACTGTCTCTGAACTTGATCCATGGGCTTAGTTCAGTTCCAGAACTGCCAGTCATGCCATTAAAAAGCATCACAGGCAGTTTCTGAATATTTGGGGGCTTTTATCACATAATAGCTCACTAAGCCATGTTCCTGGAGCATTTCAGAGCATTAAAACCACAAGAAAAGGAAAACCTTCTTTAAAAAGTTTGTTTGGTTTGAGATCCCATTCCTTTGAAACTCTGGCAAACATTATTTTGTGTTTATCACTTTTGTTAGCCACGAGAGGGTCAGACTTACAGCTGTCTGTATCTTTCCTGGAACTCACAGGGATTCCTCTTGAGGATGAGGGATTCCAGTGGGGTGTGCCTGAAGTCTGAAATCCCACTCAGGCTCGTGATGTTGTTTTCAGCAAGAGATAAGTGCTGAATCTGAGGGACTTTTGGCAGCTGTTTGAAGGATGTAAAGTGGTTTTTATTTACATTTAGCTCTCTGCATCTGTAAAGTACAAAGTGTATGGCATCACTATCACATCTGGGACAGAGCCCCTGCAACAGGGATGGGTTTTATACACTGGTTTATATTTTATTCCCTTATTTCTTTATCTTGTGCAACAGATGCATCATTATTTCTGTTCTCAATACTACAACTCTCCATACACCTAAATACACAGCAGCAGAGTAGCAACAGATGGATGATAAAATAAATTTACAGTTGTCATGGCCTCTCTGCTTGGGTTGTGCTCCCCCATCTCTTCACAGAGATTCCTTCTGTGTGCAACAGCTTCCCCTTTTGGCACAGATCTCCCTGAAGCTGGCTGGACTCATTAATTATTCCCCAGGAATAAAAGGGGTGTGATGTGATGTGATCTCCTCACTGGGTATTTTCAGCAATGAACTGATGGATTCTCACCCCAGCACCCCCCAAGAGCAGATTTGGCAGCTCTCAAGAGCCTGCCCCAGCTGTCACTTCAGAAAAATTCTGATTTCTGGGCTATTACATAAAAATAGAAATAGATTACATGAGAATAGAAGCAGGACATTTTGTCTACCTTGGCAACCTTATGGCACTGAGGTCTGTCAGGGAATTGTCCACCAACCAAAGCTTTTCCACGCGGATTAATCTGTGGAGGATTCTTTTGAGGTTTTCCACCTGGTAAAGATCACCTAGGTCCTGGAATGAAAGGTTCAGCTCCTGGGAAGGGCAAAAATAAGAGAAATCACTTTTTTTTTTTCCCTTGCTTTGTAATAGCTATATAATTAAATATAGAATTAGTCAGAGGCAGTTAAAATGAGAACACATTTTGTGCTGCTGCTTTTATAACAATTGGTGGTACCAAGTGCCAAATCCACCTCAGAATCAGAGTGCTGGACTCCTTAATTATTTGAAAGGAAGGAAGAAACCATCTCTCAAGCATGAATTTGAGTGTCCATCTCCTCCTTCCTTTGTGAGTGGGGTTACCAGGGTGTGGGAGGGAGCAGGACTGAGTGATTGTGGCTTTTTGGTTTGGCCTCTAAACCCAGCTGGCACCAAAGGTCTGTGCAGCAGCCAGATTTAAATATTCATAGAGTCCTCACAGAATGGGCTGAGTTGGCAGGGAATTCAAAATTCATCCAATTCCACCCCTTGCCACAGCCAGGGACACCTTCCTTATCACAGGTTTAAACCTATTAAATGCAGTGAGCAGCCAGCACGTGATTATTTGGCTTCTTTACAGCTACAGTCCAAAGTGTTAATGAGGAAGTTTTACAGCACAGTTTTCCCAGTTCTCTTGCATCCTCTTTTCCCATTTCTCTGCGTCAGTTACTTGTTTTCTTCTTTTCAGAGTATATTCTTCTTTCCTGAAAAACAGCTCTTCTTCTGAGGGCCCTGGTCAGAGAAAAAGATTTACAGTTGAGGATTGATACAGAACTGGCACTTAGTCACTTGCTGGAAGAATATATATTTATATTGCTGGGAAGATTCTGTAATGAAGAAATATATATAATATTATAGGTGTGTGACTTTCCAGGCTTCTGAGATTTAAATTAATGGGAAGATTTTTCTGCCATTCCCAGGCCCATAATTCTGCCAGCAATCTGCAGTCTTTGTGCATGGTTGGTAAATGACAGATCTGCTACAGATCTGAATGAAAACCATTTCTGAAAGGTTGTTCTTAAGGACCTGAGCTCTAAATTTCTCCTTATTCCTTGCCATGCTGTGAGTTAGCCTTTGATTGTCCTGAGAAAGGAAAATGTTTCAGCTTCCAGAGCAGTGCCAAAAACCAACAGCTCCATTCCAAACCTCATTTGTATTGAGACACACACACACTAAGACTTAAAGTCTTAATGAAAAGTTTAGAGCTGTGGGCATCTTCAAATTCCTGATTAAAGCAAGGACTGGCTGGAAATCTTCCACTGTTTACTCCCAAACATGCAAATACTGGATTTTAAAACCCATCTGTTCTTGAGAGTGTATGGATTGCAATTGAGCCAATTTAGTCTTAAAATACAAGAAATGTGCCACTGTTTGCAGGGCTGGGCTTCCCTCTTGCTTGGCTGTTTGGCACATGGCTACTGCATTCTGAACAGTCAAATGTTAATCAGCTTCTGAGAGAAGTAATCAGCAGCACATTAATACTAAAAATTTTCAGTTTGCAGTTCAGGCAGTTGTTTTTAATTTTGGAAATGACAAAGGATAATTTCCTAATGATTAAAAAAATAAAGTCGGCTTAGGCACTGTGAGCTGAAATCCTGGAGTTTGCCATTCTTTTGAGAAGGGGCAGGATTTCAGCTCATCCCTTTTAAGGATTCACTCTTTGACTCTATGGAGTCAGGGCTGAGATGTCAAAGTGTCTTTTTGATCTTTACCTTCCCTCACTCGGGGGCAGAGGAGCTGATTCCCTCTCACACTGTGTTCCTCTATGTCACACCAGCCAAGATACTTGAAGGAGTCAGAGGGAAGCTTAAAAAAAGGGAAAAATAAAGATATAAAAATCAGTAGAAGCTCTTGAAGTTTTGGCACTGCATTTTCCCTTATTTCTGGCCTTATTACAGCAGAAATGCCCCAGTCAGAGCCACATGCAGGAGCTGGTGAATGCTGTGGGAATTCACAGCTCAGTGGAGGTTGCCACAGCTCGTCCTGGTTAACTGCAATAAATTGGCTCAAATATTGGAGGGAGCCTCTTCAGGGCTCATTATTCCCCTGCCCAGAGCTGCAGTTTGGTGCTCAAAGGCTGAGGCAAATCCCCTGCCACAGCTCACCCCAAAGAACCTTATTTACATTCCAGCCCAGTTTTGGAGGATAAAAGGAAGTAAACAACATCCTCTTCAGAGCTGAGGAGGACATTTCTGCCTTAGCTCCTCTTTGTCAATGTCTCTTTTCTACAAACCTGCAGTCAGACTGGGAAACCCAACACTTACTGGGAAAGGGAGCCTGGGGTCCCAGCTCTGCCCGAGGGTTCCTCTGTTTTGGGGTAAAACCAGTGGAACATTGTGGGCATCCCTCAGGATGGAGCAGTAGGAGGAGTAGAATTTCAAGAACTTCTGGTTGCTTGTAGTCAGACCTGAGGAACTAGAGAGATGTTGATCCAGCCTAGGTTCTGTCCAGGGAAATGCAAATTTTGTTGGGTTTGTTTTATAATTACAGAAAATCATTACAGAAAATAAGAATAGCTCAGGGTAGAATTTGCCAGCAGGCAGCAGCCCCTTGGGGGGGTGTGTGCTGGGGAGCAGCAAGAGTTCACTCACAGCAGCCCTGGGAAAAGAGGATTTACCTTGGGTAAATGGTAAAAAAAAATCCCAGAAAATAAAAATAAAAATTAAAAAAAAAAAAAAAGTGCTGGGAATTCTTGTTTAGTTCTATCTTGCTGTTTGTTCTGCTTTTACATCCTTTTATGTTAAATGAGATCAGAGCAAAGAAATTTGTAGAAATTCTTTTGTGTTTAAGAAAAAGATCTGTTATTTTGCTCACTTTGAAAGTGATCTTTTAGGATGTATTCAAATGACTACTTATAACTGCAAGACTTTTCAAAACCTACCTTCCTCTCAGCTAGATACTACCTCCTCTGCTGAGACAGGAATATGCACTCCCAGCCCCTGGAAATGTGGGATAAAACATTTCAGCTGAACCATTTAACATGATGTCTATTCTGATCTCCTGGCAGGAAACCCACTCACAAAACTCTGTACTGGTGATGGCAAGTAAAACATAAAGTTCCAGAAAAAAATAAAGATGTGATGGATACAACTTCCCCAGTCAGGTGGGTAGTGAGATTTCCATGGGAAGGAGTGACAGAAAGAAACTTCTTTCATCTCAAAACTGCCTGGGTTTAATAAGCACCAGCTGGACCCCCAGATTATGTCACAGGAGATTTTTCTGGAGTGCCACACAGCTTTCCCCTCCTTTGCTTTGTTTACCTTCCTGTTTTGCTGCAGAATTGATGCAAAAGGAGTGGCAATGAAGGAGGCAGGATGCAATTCCAAGCAATTACAGATCTCACAATACATGAAAGGAACAAAATTTCCTGCCTTGATTGTGAGGCCCTTTGGCTGGATATGAATCTCCAATGACACCTCTGGGAGCAGCACACTAGATTATGTCAAGCATTAAGGGAAAAAAAATTAGATTCATGATGTCTGTCCAGGCTGAGTCATTTCCTCTCACTTCGCCTGCAGTGAGAAATTGGTGGTTATCATAAATCATGGGCCTAAATTCTTATGAGAGAAGAATTAATTTCACTAATGGAAAACCTCTGTGGCAATTGCATTCCTCCATTCTCCCTCTTTTTGGGGGCTGTGGGGGACTATTTATGATGTCCTTTAAGCAGAGGTGCTTGACTATATTTTAAGAATTCTGTAATAGAGGTTTGGAAAGGAAACTTCAAAAGGTAATGGGGGGATAAAAAAATCTTGTGTGTGACCAGCTCCTAATTTCTGAGGCTGGCCCTCAGTCCAGTTCCTATCATGGCTACAGCTTTGCTGCTGACACCAAATCATTACAAAGTTATTTTCCATCTCAGTAATAAACAAAACCCCACAAAACTGTACCAAACAATTCTTTGCAGGCACCTTGAAGTCTGCATTGCTCCCTGTGAGCTGACAAGAGGGAGCACAGGCTGGGGGGTAACTGGAAGCACTCGTGGCCAAACCCTTGCATTTTACATTATTCTCCTCAGTAGAAGTCCCAGGGAGGAATTCAGTGCCTGAAGTGTTTTGCAAACTGTCAGGAATGAGAACAGAACAGAACAACTTCAGTCTTTTTAAGAGCATGGCTGAGGAGATATCAGGCTGTACCCTGGAAAACCCTGCACTGCTGAGCTCCCTGATCAAAGCCCAGCTCATCAGGATGTGAGTGTCAGCTGTGGGGCTGGGAAATGTTCTGCTCTCTCTGACACCTTGGCCAGGTCTCCGGAGAGCCCAGGGAAAGGTTCTGCTCTCTGACACCTTGGCCAGGTTTGCAGGGAGCCCAGGGAAAGGTTCTGCTCTCTCAGATACCTTGGCCAGGTTTGCAGGGAGCCCAGGGAAAGGTTCTGCTCTCAGACACCTTGGCCAGGTTTGCAGAGAGCCCAGGGAAAGGTTCTGCTCTCTGACACCTTGGTCAGGTCTCCGGAGAGCCCAGGGTGCTCCAGGCTCCTGAGTGCAGTGCAAGCCCCTCTGAGTGCATCTGCCTTTCAGTGCGGGACACATTAAAAGCCACGAAAAGACTTTGAAGAGCAAAAGCTGAGCTGCTTCTGAAACTGCACCAGTGAAAGATACTGAGTGAGAAACAGAGTGAAAAGTCCCTCCTCTGTGTGTTTTAGCTATTTGGCTGTTAAAAAACGAGTGTCAGTCAAATCCTTTCTCCTGATGGAACAGCAGCCTTGACAAACAAACATCTGAGACTCTGCAGCTCAGGTTCAGCTCTGCTGCACAGAAAATGGGGAGCTCAGCTAAAGAGGAGTGAGCATATGAGCAAACTCTTGCATTTGGGATTTGAAAGGCTTTTTGTCCCAGCCTTTTGAGCAGTTCTGGGGTCTGGTCTAGCTGCTCACAGCCTTATCCCACCTGCTCTTCAGGAATCAGCATTGTCCAGCAGGCTTAGCTTTCACTGCTTTCCCCTTAAATCTGAAATCCCTGGATAAAAGGTTTGGGAACCAGTAGTATGGTTATAAATAACTCTTCACATATCAGGATTCCCGTGGTGCTTGCTACATCCCACCAAATCACAGCCCACATCTGATGGAAGGGGCCCTGCTCCTGTGGTTGAGCTCAGGGAGCTCTGGTCAAGTTCTTATTTAGCAGCAAAGCGCTCTCAGATCATTCAGTCCTGATGCTGTGGGAGTGAAAAATGTGCACCATTCTAAAGGAAGGAACCAAATCAAATGTGTTTCAAGATCATCTTGAAGGAATAGAAAAAAAAAAAAATTCCAAACTAGAGAAACTAAGAGCAATAAATCCTCCCAAAGCAAAAACTTTGTATCACTGGGTGAGAGCTGCTGATTTTGTAGGCTCCAAGAGAGGTTCTGGACCTGCCCAAAGCACCTGCACACATAAGTGAACACTCCCAGGTTCTAAACACCCAATTATTTGTGTTGTCCCAGTCAATGGCAAATGCCAAAGCCATAAATGAACTGCAAGGATAAGTTACCAGCTTGTGAAAGTATTTAAGAGATGGCAAACTCAGAATTCAGGCTGTGCTTCATTTCAAATGCACACAATTTACTGCTCCAGAGCAGCTCTGCTTGTATGCAAACATTTATTATGAGAACTCTCTGAACTTAGCAGAGTAGAAGATATGGACACAGTGTTTGCATGCTCTATTACCTCTCAATTATTTTTATAGGAGTTTTAGGAGACATTATGCAACATTTTGAAGCAGTTCTTCTGAGCGTAATTTAGTGACAAACACACCTGTAAGTTATGGCTACAAAGCATCCTTGCTGATAGCTGCAGCATCAATTATCTTGCTTTATGCTTCATAAAATTGCCCCCCCCAAGACATAATTAACTTAATTAGGTCCCATCACCATAATGATACACTCTTAGCATATTAACTAACATTTTCCTCTTGGATCCAGCTTGCACCAACACAAAGCCCACATCTCAATCCACACAGTTTCACAACAAACTCAACATTTTTGTTGGGGCAGCTTTTTCCTTCCAGCAATCAGGCACTGACACCAAGAAAAACAGCTCTGTTTGAGCTCCTGTTTTCCCTGCACAGCAATCTCCTTCAGCAATACAGGCTGGTACATTTTAAAAAGACACTCAATCCTGTAACTCTATCTTTGTTGTCAAAGCATGTCAAGCAATGACTACAGGTTCGTGTCTCCTTGCACCCTCCTACCTTTCAGACATGTCTGGCTGCTGCATGAAATCCTCACATCTTGCACAGGGCTATTTGTCTACAGGCAGGGCTTATCTTCCCATCTCTGGCCCTGCTCAGGGAGGGAGTTCCAGGCTCTCTGGAGAGGGGGAACCTGCCGGGATCCCGATGGATGGATTCGCTGTCTCCAAGGAAACGCTGTCACCGCGCAACGCTGCCGCCGCTGTCACCTTAGGAGCTATTGTTACCAACCTCTTAAGCACATCAAACAAATTCCTGGGCTGATCCAGCTGGTATCAGTGAGCTGGCTCTCCAGAAGGTGCCTAAAGATAGGTTGGTGATACCTGTAGCAGGATACGTGATCATCCAGCTGAATCTCTGGTCTGCACGCGCCGGCCGCTCCACTTTCAATTCCTTTCACGGTTTTGCCCGCTTGAAGTTGGTATTTTTGTTGCCTAAAAGATCTCCTGCTTCATTAGTGGCTTGTTAAATGCCTTATTAGTGTATCTATCTGTTGGATGAAAAGAAAATACTTAAAGAGGGTCAGGTTTTATGTAATGTTCAGGAAGGTTTTTTATGGGCACCTGTTCGCTCTGTTGGGTGTTCTTGCCTCATTTGAATGTACTCAGCCATTTTAGGAACCTCTTCTAGGCTTCCTTCTTCAGGTTTGCAGCCGAGAATGAGAACAAGAGATTCTTCTCTTGGTGGGAACCAACAGGCCAGGTTTGTGTCTGTTTTTATATTATATTTTTCTTAGACCATTAAAGCTGTAGGTTCTGAATTGGTCCAGTGAATATGAGTTTGATTTTTGTTTGTTCACCCAGACAAAGTGCAGGCGCTGGCAGGGCTCCAGGGTGGGATTGCAGCAGCCCAGTGTGGTTGTGGGCACTGGTTAGTCCCTGCTGAAGTTCACAGATGGTTTTTAAACTCCAACAGTGGTGGTGGGACCCAGGTTTTGGGGGAAGGTTACAATGGAGCTGTAAATTGTCCCCTGTTGATCTGTGACTCCCGCACCACAGGCACAGCCCCTTCCTCACTTCAGCTCCTGGGGTCTGTCCTGAAAAAAGAGGGGGTAAATACATTAAAATCAATGTGGAAAAGGTCCACAATCCTCTCTGCCCTGGGTTATTCAGTTGGAAACACCTTTTAGTCAAAACCTCTGTGGTTTAGACTTCTACCTCGCAGCTTCTTCACATACAAAACATTCCTTATCCTCCTTCTCCTTCACATTTTTCTCTTTTAGGTCACTACAAAGGCTGATCATTATAAGGTCGTTCTATACAGAAAGGTCTGTGCTTTCCCCAATGGTTGCTGAAGGCTCCAAAACCTTCTCTCAGAAATTCTGCTGGCAAATTTCACCGTGCCAGGAAAACAGAGGGGAATCATTGTAATTAGAGAATTTCAGCTCCATGCTCAGGCATTCCGTGGTTCCAAATGTTGAACTGACAGATCATTATGTGAAATTTAACAAAGTAGTCATTCCACCCAGGTTTCATTAAAACTTTATGTGCTAAGAACTGAGTTTATTACTGGGTGGGCGAGGACAGGGTTTTAAGAGATTCATCAGGTCACTTGAGAGAATAATTTCTCTGTCTGCTAAGAATAAAGAAATTAATATCTAAATCAAACAGGATTGTAATTTGGGGCCTTTCTACTTGCCATTTTTTCCTCTGTCTATAAAATGAAAGGTATTGGTCCCCATCACAGCCTAATGGGCTTCAGATCTTTTATGGCAAATGCATTCCTCATAAAGCCCATGAAAAATTATCTCTGTGCTATTCCAGAGGAACGACATATTTTACATGGTGTCAGCCTTTCCATTATAAACACTATTTTTCAGATCTTTACAACCTGCCCATAAAAATGTGCTTCTGACAAGAAATTCAGCAGTGTGTCCCCAGCTCTGCAAGAAAGAAATCTTTTTTCCAACTTTATGTAATTTTGACCAGTAATTTTGTCTTTGAATTGGGTAAACACAGGGTGGGCATCGGTCTCAACCCTGTGTCTCTCACATCTTTTTTTTGTCCCTTTGGATTCTTCCCTGCATGTCCATGAAATTTGTAGGATGGGCAGAATACAGCTCATCCTGAGGTCTGATTAATGACAGAAACAATCCCAATTATTCTCACTGCTGTAGGCCACCAGAGGCCCCGTTGTTCTGGGCACCACAGAAAGTCAGAAAAACAGAGTTTGCTCCAGAGGGTTTGTGCTCTAATTGAACAGAGCACACAGACAAAGAGTAGGAAGAAAGGAAATAATATTATCCCTCCTCCTTTTATACAGAAATAACTGAGATGCTCAGACCATGAAATCCTGGCACTGTGGGAGCAGAAATTCTGTTCCTGTGCCCAGGGTCAGCATTCACACAGGATTCCCAGCCACTGACTTTGTTCAGACCAGACTGGATGAACAGTCTGGCTTTAAAGTCTGCAATTACTGGCTGAGTTTCTGAGCTGACATTTCTGATTGTCGTTGAAGGATACTTGAAAGAAATTTCTCTATTCTAACATTTTTCTGATTCAGGAATAAATCAGTTTAGATAAATCTAATTTTGGGATAAATCAAATTATTGACGTAATTTTATGTTCTTTATGTAAATTTTTTTTTTTTTTTGGTGTTAACTTGATACAAATTGTTGATATCAAACCATCAGGTCAATATCACCAGTACAATCAGACCTAAACACATAACAACACTTCAGCACCAGCAGAAAGCCAACTTTTATTGATCTTACCTGCTTTGAACATATCCAGGAATCCAGGGTGTTTGTGATGGATGATTCACTTAGAAAGAGAGAATTTCTTGGGGCATTTCGGAGGTGTGATGTGCATGGCCCTGAAGAGGAAGAGGAGCTCACTTTTGGTGCCCAAGTGCTGCTCTGTGCCTCGGCAGGCAAACAGCACACACTCACTCAAACCAACAGGTTTGGGTTGTTTTGCTGAGTTACCCAGGCAACACTTTCCTTTCTGGGCTGCCCGTTCAGGATTCCAGGAAAACATTTGATTCCCACTTGGAGAGCATTCCCAGGGAAAAGCCAAGGACAACAGCATAAAGCCTTGGGCAGGAGGAGCGCGGAGTTAGTGAAACATTTCATCGGGGTCACCAGACAAAAAGGAATCAACAACTAGCTGCATAAATAATTGAAGGGAAAGCTGCACATGCCTGCTTTTCTGAGGTGTTACAAACCCATGGGTTCCAAGAGGCTTGGAGGGGCTGTAGCCAAGCAACAGGGACTGAAATTTGTTTCTCTCTCCTGGAAAAACAATGGGCTTGAAAGTGGTAATGACAATGCCTGGCACTGAAGAGTGAGCTCTTCCTTGGTTTAACAGCCTTTGGATGAAGCTGTAAGAAAAATGATTGTGGAATGAACAAAACATTTTTGTTTGGTTTAGGAGAGGCCTATTCCAGTATCAAATCTGCCTTTTTCTAAACAAAATGAATGTCAACAATTTCTGGATGTATCTGACACTGAGGAAAGACCGCAAATAAGTAACATCTCAAGGTTTTCTTTCTCAAAAGTTTCTTTTCTAAAGAAATAATGGACATAAAACTCACTGCCTCTTCATTTGCCTTCAAATTTCACCAATTTGTATGAAAGACAAAACATGATTTTATCCCAAGTGGAGCTGGTGGCACACAACACTCCTGGTTGATGATTTCTCCCATTATTAACCTCACTGAAATGAGGTCTATTTTCCCTTTCACCTTAAAGCATGGCTTTTGCATTGAATGTGAATGCAGAAAAACCCCAAAGGGACCTGCTGGGAGCCTGCCAGACCTCCCCAAAGGGAATGAACCCCACACAGGCCATGGTCTGGGGCTCACTGCCACCCCTTTAATGAGCTCCTGTCACCTCCACTCCCCCAGCTGCCATTCCTGCCCAATCCTCAAAACTCCAAACACCCCAAGCTGCCAGAACAAACAGATCAGGCACCTGATGGAACCACCCTGGGATGGAACCTCCAGCCTGGGGTCAGCCCCATCTCCTGCACCCACGTCCTCATCATGGATCTCGTGTCTCATCTTCTCACGAGTTAATTGTTAATGATTCCCCATGGGGTGCAAGATTCATTAGGCACTTCCTAATTTATCAAACATAAATCTCATCAGGTAATTTTAATCATATGAAAATCATTTTAAATTCATTTTGATAGACAATTTCCTGTTGCAGCCTCCTTTTCCCCTGTGTGGTTGGAAGCAGCATCTCTGGTTATTCTCCTCTAACTTCCCCCATTGCACTTCCATCATTTTCTTGTATTTATTTGAAAATGCTGCCAGCTGCTAAAGAGTTATGTTTCCTTTTTTTTTCCTTTTCTTTTTTATTTTTAATTGATTACCTGAAATATACTGAAAAAATCGGTTTATTTCATCCATCAAACCCCTGCTGCCTTGCTGAAAATCAGATCTTGCAAATGTGGGAATACCTGGGAGTCACCAGAGCATTTCTTTATTGAAGTGGCTTTGCCAGGTTGTCATATAGGAGATATTTGAGACAAAGAGACAAAATCTCTTTAAGGATGGGATGGGAAAATAATTGTATTGCTGAGCCAAGGTGGTGAAAAGTGTCCAGCTCTGCAGGAGCTTAGAAAGGAGGGAAAAACCAGGAAAACATGGAAAAACAAGGCACTTGAATGACAAACATAACTCAGTTGTTTAAATTTCAGAGCTCCCTGTCCCCATTCCAATCAAAGAAGGAGCTGAACATGTATTTACAGACAGAACTTGCTCCTGACATCTCCCATTTTTTTATCCCTATTATTTCCCTGAGACTTATTGCCAAAAAAAATTAAGTTCAAATGAATGCCTGGCTATTCACTGTCTGCAAGGATCACAAAGATGTTCTCTGGCTGAAAGCAGCAAGCAGGGCCTCCTGTGATGGTGGGGAAGAGAGGAGAGGAGCATGATGAGAAGAATCAAGTGTTTTTATTAAAGGTGTTGTGCTCACGCAGCTTTTATCTGGAAATCCAAATAATTTACTCCCACTTGCTTTCATTTGGAGCAGAAGGCATCCTCGTGTTCCATGAAAAAAGAATGAGCCTTGCTCCTCTGCAGCGCTTCCTTTCTGGGCAGGAGGCAGCCCTGCTGTGCTGTCCACAGCATTCCCTGTAAGTGCAATCCCTGCATTTACAGCCAGGAGCTGGCACAGCCTGCCAGGAGAAATTAAATGCAATGGAGATGTGTTCCTGTTCAAAGTCAGGGGCTGAGTTTGCTGTATCACATCCTCGTGCCCTGAGGGCTGCAGCACCTTCTCCTCCCAGCAGGGCTGGGGGAGCTGAGCCATTCCTGGCTGGTTTTGCACCACTTTGTCCCACAGCTGTAATTATGGGAGTTATGGTAGGCTACAGATAAAAGTTAAGGTATAGATTGGTTCTACTGTATTAAAATGCTCAGCAAAGAAAAGTATAAAATGCAATGTAACCAAAACCAAAGGGTCTCCAGGCCTGGCTGCAGCTGGAGCTGACAGCTGTGGGCACAGCTCTGTCACCCACACCCTGGGCTGCTGTGACACCTTGGATGGAATAAACTGCATTCTGTATACAATAAACTGCATTTTGGAGAGCCCCTGGAGCCCCGCATCCCTCATTATGGCTCTTACATCACAGAATCACAGAATAATGAGGTTGGAAGGGACCTCTAAGATCATCCAGTCCAGCCCATGCCCCAACACCTCAACTAGACTATAGCACCATGTCCAGTCTTTTTTTAAACACATCCAGAGATGGTGATTCCACAACTCCCTGGGAAGAGCATTCCAGTGCTTTATTATTCTTTTGGTTAAAAATTTTCAGTGGAATGACTTCAGCCAGTGCCTCTCTCTGCTTTGGCTCTTTTCAGCCCAAAATCCCCTCTGCAGACAAAGCTCTGTTTTCCAGAGGTCACTCCCCACCTCACATTTTTGCTTTAACAGAGATGAGGTGATAGGAGAAGCAGCTTTTCTTTAAGGGAAAGTAAAAGGGATTAAACCCCATGCACTTCACACCCATCCTGATATTTGGGCTTCACTGCCGGCCTAGAGGGGCTGTGGAGGTGCTGTTAAACCACTTTGTGTCACAATATTGCCCTTTTCTTGATTAGGGCAGGTTAATATTTCTGCTGATACCTGTTCTTCAGAGTCTCCTTTCAGCCCTCAGTTTTTTTGTTTTTGCAGTTGAGATGTGAATGATCAGCAGCTGAGCTTCAGTCTTGTTCCTCCTCATTTTTCATGCTGCCTTGGCTGTTTTGGAGAGCTGCTGAATGCAGAATGAAGCTGCAGGAGAGTGTTTGCTCCACAGCCAGCAAGGCATGAAGCCCTTTTTTCTCCAGCTGTGGAGTAGAGCCAGAGCATTGCTAACAGAGTCACTGGGGATGTGACTCAAAGGGTGACATTTCCTACTCTGCTCCGTGACACCAGATGATGAATGCTCACAGCAAAACACGGGGCTGGTTTAAATAAACAAAATTAAATCTATTTCTGTGATTACAGGCATCGTGTTACATCTCTGAGGGAGCATCAGCTGCTGCTCCCAAGTGCTGCAGATTTGTCAGCTTGTTTAGAAATGCTCTGCTCACTGGGTTTTCCTGCTGCATAAATCCATTGGCATTTTGGCCCGAGCAGGCTGGGGGGGATTTGGCCAGTGGGAGATTTGGCCAGCAGGTTGATGTTCTGCACATCAGCCTTAATCTTGTTTTACACTCAGCAATTTACAGCCTCATATTGTTCCCATTCCCAGCATTAGAGAGACACCATGGGAGTGTATGGGAGCAGGGACCTTAGCCCAGAGCCAGAGCTGAGGGGATTCTCCCATTTCTGA